TTAATTAAACTTAAAAAATTTAAGTTTTATATTGAGCCAAAAAGCGTTCGGAGACTTTTGGCGGGGGTCTGTAAGTAAAATTATTTTAAAAATAATAATTTAATAATAATTTATACTTACTTTAAAACTATTAATAATACTAGTATCTAAGGATTGTAGATGAGCAGTTGTATTCAGAGAAAGAAAATGCACTTTAATGTTTAATAATAAAATAGTTTTATCCATTAAATAAGTTGGTGCATTATCAGCTAATAATAATATCTTACAATTTTATTATCTCATTAATTGGTTAAATTTATTTAGGTAATCATGCCACACTGATACTTGCATCCAAGCTGTATAGTTTTAGTAATACCAAATAGGCAGATCATCCTTTTTGATTCCTTTTAAAACACGTGAAGTTTGCCACTTATGTTTCACTAAAGCAGGTAATCTGTGACATGCTTAAATACTAAAATTGCAGAATAAGTGGATGCAAATAAAGCTAGAGATTGATAGAAATTTGACCTTCATTAACAGATCTGTAACAGATACTGTCTTATATCTTCAATTTCAGTGACTCTTACACAAGTAAGGAAGTAATTAACCAGTAATTAGTAAATTGGATAATACCTCAAGATACCTTGAGGTAATTATAATTGATAATAGACTGCATTATACTACTGCAGTAACCATCCAATCGAGCTGTTACTTAGGATAGATGCAGGATTCAATTTCTGAGTGAGTTTAATGATATAGATATGATAGCCACCTGCTTTTTAAGTTCTATAAGATGAGTATTGTCTAAGCCTTTCTGGTTATATATAATATATATTCTAATACTAAGCAGAAGTAATAGCAATTCTGATAGATATTGATAAAAACAAAGAAAATAATTGACTAAAAGTACCTGTAGCTGAAAGTGATCCCTCTATCCAAATTTGACAGTAGTTTTAAAGTCCAGTAACTCTAGAGTTATATTTCTGAGGAGTTACTTTGGGTGATAATCTTTAGATTAGTATATTGATAAGATTAGGGCTGATGAGTTAGCTAAGATCTTACCAGTGATTTGATCAGATGCAAATAAGATTTTACATGACTTGTACGTGTCATTCTCTTTTGCTATTAAAGGCTTCCTGATATTATCAAATACTGTAAATAAAGGAGAATAAACAGTTATTTTATGATTATCATTATGGCTATTCTGTAATGAGAAATGATAATTACCCTTTCTGTAAAATAACTATTATACTTATTATACTGAAATCACATCACAAAACATTGATTGAATTCTAAAAATTTATCTATCATATTTTTGCTATTATTCCTTCATCTGTAATACAGACAAATTTGCCTACGAACATAAAAAATAAAATATTAATGTTAATAATATAATTA